GGGGGGAAATGTTGGGCGGCCGCGTTGGGGCTCCGCTGAGTACCCTAGAAGTTTCCTAAGTGCGTCCCAGTTCTGGACCGCTGAGGGGGGTCTCTCCCCGGGCTGGTGGGGAGGTGAACACTGGTGGGTTTTGAGCAGGGAGCGTGAGAGGAGGGGGGGAGGGGAACACGGGGCTCCCAGCGGGGTGCAGAGACCTTGAAACTCCTGCTCTCCGCTCGGTTCGATTCATTATTAAAGGCAGGGATGAAGTGCTGGCTTTCATGTGCTTCGCTCCTTCTCTCTTCCTCTTACGGCTCTGAAGAGGTATGTCCTCTTGGCTCTGTTAAGTACTTAAGGTTTCCAGAATGAATTGGAATAATAAAAAAAACCAACCCAAACCAACAAAAACCACAAAACAAAACACTCCCTGAGCTTTCACAGCCTCTTCTGAGGTGGTTTTATCCTTCCCCCGCAGCCCTTGGTGCCATTTCTCAAGGCAGCCCTCGAGCGCGGAGACCGACACGGACCCTCCTACGGAGCCACACGTGTTCTCCTGCCGCCTGTCCCCCCCCTTCCCGGGACCCCCCGACCTTCCTCCCGGCCGCCTCTGGTGCTTTAAGGGCACTGCCTGTTTTCGGGGCCAAAGTCCGTGAGTTCCAGCAGCGGCGGTGGCAGCGGCGGCGGTGGCGGCGGCCGGGCCGGGGATGCAGCTCCCCACCGTGCCGGGCGCCCTCGCCCCCTCCCTGCTCGCCATCCCCGTGGCTTTCAGCATCAACGGCGCGACCGCCTTGGCAGAGTGAGTGCGGGTCCGGGAGAAAGCTCTGGGGTTGGGATGCCACGGTGCGGCTCAGGGCAGGGCGCTGGGTCCAGTCCCACCGCTGGTCCTGGATGCTGGGTCCAGTCTGGGACTGGGGAGTGGAGGGGAAATATCCAGTCTGGCCCAGGAGAAGGCTCTTTCCAAAGAGCCATCCCACCCGGGTCCCATCCGGATGCGGGGAGCGGTGCCCATCCGGGCGCTGGGGCTGTCCGGGGTCTGGGGTCCAGCCCAGGGGGGGTGGGGGGGCTCAGTCCGGGCGCTCCTGCCCCATCCGAGCCCTGGTGGGTGTGTGCTGGGACGCGGCTG